TCTTTGTCTGTTGTCTTTGTCTGTTGTCATCTGTTGTCGTCTGTTGTTGTCTGTTGTTGTCTGTTGTTGTCCGTTGTTGTCTGTTGTTGTCTGTTGTTGTCTGTTGTCGTCTGTTGTCTGTTGTTGACTGTTCTTGACTGTTGTTGTCTGTTGTCTGTTGTTATATGTTGTCCATTGTCGTCTGTTGTCGTCTGTTGTCTGTTGTTGTCTGTTGTCGTCTGTTGTTGTCTGTTATTGTCTGTTGTCCGTTGTTGTCTGTTGTTGTCTGTTGTCCTTTGTTGTCTGTTGTTGTCTGTTGTCATCTGTTGTCTGTTGTTGTCTGTTATTGTCTGTTGTCCTTTGTTGTCTGTTGTTGTCTGTTGTCATCTGTTGTCCGTTGTTGTCTGTTGTTGTCTGTTGTCCTTTGTTGTCTGTTGTTGTCTGTTGTCATCTGTTGTCTGTTGTCTGTTGTTGTCTGTTGTTGTCTGTTATTGTCTGTTGTCTGTTGTTGTCTGTTGTCTGTAGTTCTTCTGTGTTCTTGGTTTAAATCAGGTCTCTCTCGAGGCTCAGTGAGACTAACCTGTAGAAATAAAGGTTGAATGAATGAACTGATCTGACGTGCACGCTCTGTGTGTGTTTCAGTGACGTGTCTCTGGAGGTTCCCTTCAAACTGATGCATCCCAAACCTGAAACAGGTAAAGACCCACACACCTGTAGCCACACCCCTTGTTCAAAATGAAAGTTTATTTAAAAAAAAAAATCTTTTTTTTTTTTTGTAGGGTTATAAATATATTTGAATAATTGATCTTCACAGATAAACTCTTTGTTTTCAACCGTCTCTTCTTTTTTCCTGCTGCTGAACTTCAGCCAAAGACAGGTAAGACTCTGTTTGATCACATGACCTTTCTGACCGCGAGCCTCTCATCACCTGGGACTTGGACTATCCAGTCTCCATGTGGTTTGCATCTCTGGAGGAGGCTTCTGACCAGGTTCCCGCTGATCCACCACACCAAAGGGGGTCAGCAGAAATGGATCAAGCATTTGATCAAGATGAACCTTTATTGAACCACTGAGATCACAGAACTCTTTTGCAAGAGAGGCCTGAAGGCAGTCTAACATGCAAGTTTTAGATCTGTGGGAGGAAACCGGAGTACCCGGAGAAAACCCACGCAGCACAGAGTGAACATGCAAACTCCACCCAGAAAGACCCCAGATCCAATCGGGGATTGAACCCAGGACCTTCTTGCTGTGAGGCTACAGTGCTAACCACTGATCCATCGTGCTGACACAAGATGCATCCTGGTCGCCTGGAGGTTTTCTGGGCATGTCCCACTGGGTGGAGACCCAGGTGCAGAACCAGAACTGTCTGGAGGGAATGAAAGTCCTCTCTGGTCTGGGTACACCTTGGGACCCTCCAGGAGGAGCAGGACAGTGTATGGATGGATCACCAGTCGATCTCGAGTCTGTCCTCTGGCTGTTTATACTCACTGAGGTTCTGCTGTTCTGTGTGTCATGCAGTGAACCTGACGACGTGGTGTTCGAGGACTTTAAACGGGCCTACATGAAGGGTGTGGTCTACGGCGACGACGATGAGTCCCCTGCTGAGGCCTGAACTACAAAGATGGCTGCCAGCAGCCAGCACTAATCACAAACACTCGTCAGTGTTTAAATGTTGAATTAAATCTTTTGTAGAGTTGTTAAATTGTTTAAAAAATGCTCGTCCGTCCTTGAATCCAGGTTGAAACTGAACCTCTTTGTTTGTGTTTCTTCTTATTGCAGCTGAAATTAACTTATATCTGTCAGTTAGTGTGTTTTCTGACACGCCTGAGTGTTTAGTGTTCAGTTTGTAGTTTTTCTGCTGCTCAATAAATAAAATTACACTTTTGTGTTTCTGATTCCTTTCAGTTTTATTTTAATTGTCATTAGACTTTATTTATGAGTCCATTTGAGTTTTGGACTCATGGACAGAAAACAGCAAGGAGCTCAGAGTCTCTTTCCCAGACGTGGGTTACCGGGGCCCTGCCCTGGAGCCAGACCTGGGGAGGGGCTCATCGGCGAGCGCCAGATGACCGAGTCTCTACCCATGGGGCCTGGTCAGGCTGAGCCCAAACAAGCAACATGGGTTTGCCTTCCTGTGGACCCACCACCTGCAGGAGGGGCCATATGAGTCAGGTGCATGACGCCATGGGCAGTGGATGAAGATGAGGACCTTGGCGCTCTGACCCTGTCTTACCAAAGCTGCTCTTGGGAGATGGAACGTGACCTCTCTGGGGGAGGAGCCTGAGCTTGTGCGTGAGGTTGAGAGGTACTGATTAGATCTAGTTGGGCTCACCTCGACGCACAGCATGGGCTCTGGAACCGATCTCCTTGAGAGGAGGTGGACCTTATTCCACTCTGGAGTTGTCCATGGTGAGAAGCGTCGAGCTGGTGTGGGTCGACTCCCCCCCCCCGACTTGATGCCTGTGTGTTTGTGTTTTCCCTGGTAGATGAGAGGGTGGCTTCCCTTCGCTGTCGGGTGGGGGGACGGGCTCTGATGGTTGATTGTGCCTACGCTCCAAATGACAGTCAGGGTATCTGTGTGGAGTCCTTAG